CCGCATGTTTTTCCCACAATCCCTCACAAATGACACCCATCCCCCGCATGTTTCTCCCACAATCCCTCACAAACGACACCCATCCCCCGCATGTTTTTCCCAAAATCCCTCACAAATGACACCCATCCCCCACATGTTTCTCCAACAATCCCTCACAAATGACACCCATCCCCCGCATGTTTCTCCAACAATCCCTCACAAATGACACCCATCCCCCGCATGTTTTTCCCACAATCCCTCACAAATGACACCCATCCCCCGCATGTTTTTCCCACAATCCCTCACAAATGACACCCATCCCCCGCCTGTTTCTCCCACAATCCCTCACAAACGACACCCATCCCCCGCATGTTTTTCCCACAATCCCTCACAAATGACACCCATCCCCCGCCTGTTTCTCCCACAATCCCTCACAAACGACACCCATCCCCCGCCTGTTTCTCCCACAATCCCTCACAAACGACACCCATCCCCCGCCTGTTTCTCCACTTGTGTCCATGTCATCCCTACGTTAACGGGTATCTGCCTCCTACTTCTCTCTGCCATGTGTTCTTGGCCTTCCTCTGCTCCTATCACCCTGAGATTACATTTCAGCGCCTCTCTAGTTAAATTTGTCATCAACTCTTTCAACCAGCGATTGATTAATTTTGGAAGTCGTACAGAAACAAAAAATGTAACAATCTTCTCATCTTCAGAGTATAAAAATAAATACATGTTCATAGTTTCACATTTGAACCAGTAAAATGCAAAATTAGGATAAAAATCTAGCAAAAACTCCATAAAATACATTATATCTGAAATGATCAACTTGGGCAAACTCCGTCGATCAAACAACTAGAAACAAGAGCAAACAACAAAAATCTCCCACCTTGAGATATCTGCGATAAACTCTAACAGCTGTTTCAGGGATGTCATTAGCTCTCACAAACTTGAGATACAGCGGCCACATGCGGCCATGTTGGGTGATGGGCAGAGCTCGGAGCGCTCGGTCGAAGCAGCGTCTGGTGCGAGTTATTTTGCCCTGGCCAATCAGGAAGTTGAGATAGTCCAGCCATATCCGCGGCATCTGGGATCAGACAGAGATTTTTCTTTTAGCCTAACTCTTTATCCCTGGCAAGCTGCTCCCAGCGGCTGGCGGTTCGAACCACTGAGCCCGAGAGTTGCTGACAGCGGATCGGGCACATTCCTTTATGACGACATCGACATCAAATTACTATTTGGCAATTGCCGGAAACAGGTCTCTTATACCAAAAGTTCATTCATCAGACGAAGAACTATCAAAATAGGTTGGCTAATTTTGATTTAATGACCCATTGAATGATGTTTTTGTTATTTTTAGATTTCTCACCAAAAATGGCCCCCGGCGTAGTGGGTTTACCCCCCTTGGAGATAAAGAGTTGAGTAAGACAGGACAGGAGTGTGTGTGTGACTTCATACACAGGACAGGAGTGTGACTTAATACACAGGACAGGAGTGTGTGTGTGACTTCATACACAGGACAGGAGTGTGACTTAATACACAGGACAGAAGTGTGAGTGTGACTTCATACACAGAACAGGAGTGTTTAAGTAAGACTAGTTTTGGGGTTGTTGTTTTTTTGGTAAGCGTGTTACAGCGCTGCCAATAGCATAAGGTAATGTGAGCGCGCGGGACACATTAAACATTTTTAGTTTGGTAGAAATTAATTTTGAGTTTTGCCAGGATGGCGACTGAAGCCTATTCCTATCGATTTTTGGACAACCAAGGGATCTTTAACGTGCACAACTAGCACACAGGACCGCCGAGATTTTTCGCCTTTATCAAAGAAGGCCAGGTGTTAGATCTTACCTATCATAAGACCAAAGTACGTGTTAGGTGTGCTATGTGTTAGGTGTGCTATGTATTAGGTGTGCTGACAACAGTAGACTACTGTCAGGGAAAAGAAGGCCAGGTGTTAGATCTTACCTATCATAAGACCAAAGTACGTGTTAGGCGTGCTATGTGTTAGGTGTGCTATGTGTTAGGTGTGCTATGTGTTAGGAGTGCTGACAACAGTAGACTACTGTCAGGGAAAGGAAGGACAGGTGTTAGATCTTACCTATCATAAGACCAAAGTACGTGTTAGGT